GCATTTACCCCCAAATTGTGTACATTTCTCCCATCCCTGAATATATTTTGGGGGTAGATATCCTGTAGGGCCTCTGGTTACAGACCACTGCAGGTGGGCTCAGACTGACGGTATGTGTGGTAAAGACAGTTCTGAGGGGACATGCTAAGCACCCACCTGTAGTTCTGCCTGTATCTGGGCAGGTGACATCAGTATAAATTGCCTGGGGGGCACAAAGAAATTGGAGAAACTCTACAGGAGTTGGAGAGGGTGGGCATCATAACACCCACTCATAGTCCTTTTAATTCCCCAGTGTGGCCAGTGAGAAAGCCAGATGGCTCCTGGTGTATGACTGTATACTACAGGGAATTGAATAAAGTCACACCCCCACTGCATGCTGCTGTCCCCTCTATCACAGACATTCTGGACACCCTCAGAAATGAACTCAGAACATATCACTATGTAGTAGACCTTGCTAATTTTTGTTCTCTATTGACATAGTACAGGAAAGCCAGGAACAGTTTGCCTTCACGTGAGAAGGCCAGCAGTGGACTCTGACTGCCCTTCCACAGGGATATCTCCACAGTCCCACCATGTCATGAACTTGTGGCCCAGGCAGTATTACAAGAGTTTTTGGGTCTTTTAGGCTACCGGAGAGCATTTATCCCGCACTTGGCAGAAATTCTGAAGCCCTTATACTGGTTGTTATGAAAAGGCATCAGGTGGGACTGTGATAAGACATGTGTAGCTGCTTTTACTGCTGCCAAGCAGGCAGTCAAGGTCATACAGGCCTTGAATGTAATACACCCACAATGTAAAGGCCCTGTGAACTAGATGTTCATGTAACTGAAGATGGTTATGGATGGGGTCTTTGGCAGTGGCTTGAATGGACACACCAACCTACTGGATTTTGGTCACCATTATGGAAAGCAGAGGTCCGATAGACCTTGATACAGAAGCAACTGGCTGCTGTGTACCACGCCTTGTTGGCTATGGAAACCATTGCTGGAACAGCTCCAATCAAGGTAATAACCACCTATCCCATCACGGGGTGGATGCGAGACTGGACCCAAAGGCCACAGAGTGGCGTGGCACAGACACCTACACTGGCCAAAGGGGTGCATATTTACAGCAGCACAGCACCCTCTCAACTAGCTCCTTAAGTGGAGAACTCCAACACTTACTGGGGCCAGCAACCTATACCAGTGAAAAGCAGGGAGAACTTGCTTTTTAGCTCTTGGTAGCCAAGACTCCTTATCAGGAGGGAAAAACCCCTATATCTGAAGATGCTTGGTACACAGACAGCTCCAGTCGTGGGCAGCCCCTGAAGTGGGGGGCTGTGGCTTTCCATCCTAAGACTGAGACAATATGGATGGAGGATTGGGGAAGAACAGTCAATGGGCTGAGTTGCAGGCAGTATGGCTCGTGATCACACAGGAGCCTTCTCCCTCATAGTTGTTGCACGGACAGCTGCACCGTCTATCAGGGCTTGACCTGTGGCTACCAACATGGTATCATGCCAACTGGACGGTAGGTCACTGGCTCCTTTGGGGGCAAGAGTTGTGGCAAGACCTATGAGCCTCTGGTCAGATTAAGACAGTTACTGTATATTATGTGATTGGCCATTTGCCTTTGGCATCCCCAGGGAATGATGAAGCAGACACGCTGGCCCAGGTGTGCTGGCTAGAAGGAAAGCCTGCCTCTGATGTGGCCCAGTGGCTACACCAACATTTGTTGCATTCGGGGCAAAAGACAATGTGGGCTGTAGCCCATAGGTGGGGCTTGCCATTGACTTTTGAAGAAGTCAGCAGAGCCCGAAAGGAGTGCCTTGTGTGGTCTAAGAAGGACTTACACCGAGTCTCACAGCAACATGGGAGAATACTAAGGGGGCCAATATCCCTTGTCAGGTGGCAAATAGACTATATTGGGCCTCTGCCCATATCAGAAGGATATCGGTATGCCATGACATGTGTGGACACAGCTATTGGACTACTGGTTGCTTTTCCTGTAGGTTGTGCATTATCAGCAAACCAAGAGGGGCCTGGAGCATCTCTTTGCAGCCTATGGCCGGCTGCATGTGATTGAAAGCGATCAAGGCACCCACTTTACTGGACAGGCATTACAACAATGGGTGCAGCAATTAGGAATAAAATAGAAATTTCATGTACCATATAATCCTACTGGAGCAGGCATGATAGAGAGGTACAACGGTTTGTTGAAATCTGGCCTGAAGTTGGACATCGATAGTCTACAGGGTTGGTCTGTTTGCCAATGGGCAGTGCTGAGGTGTTTGAATGAGAAGCCACATAAAGGAGCTTTAAGCCCTGTGGATATGCTCACACAACTTGCTGCCTATTATACAATTGCACATCCAAGCCAAAGACGAGTTATTTAAGCCAGGATATGGCCAGCAGAGCAATACCCTGCTGCCAGCCCCTAGTGCCTTAAGCCCTGGAGACACTGGTGAATAGACCTGGCCCTGGACATTCTGACACATGGACCAGCAATGGATGGTCATTCTGGCACCTTGGAGGAAAGGCCTGGAAGCTGGCCTCGTGTGTATTCCTGGAGTAACTGCTGAATGGCCCCCAAAGGTCATGGTAGTATACCCAAAATGTCCAGGAGGTAAGAGCATCTTGTGGAGAAGTTTTGTTTTACCTTTAGGGCCAGTGCATGTACCTCCCGTAGCCCTATATATTGACCCATCTGTAACTCCCACAGGGAGTGGGGTGAAAGTCTGGTATACTAAACCAGGACGAGATCCCTTTCCTGACACTGTTTTATCACAAGACCACTCTCTTGCATGTATCCTACCTGATGGACATGATTTGCCTATACTGATGTCATTAAAACATGTATCTTATCGACCTTAAGGTTATTTTCTCCTACAGTCCTTGTGGTCTGAATGCACTTCCTGGCTGCAGCTGCCACCTGATGATTGCTCTGGATCCTCAGCTACTGCCTGCCTATGGAATGGACAAGCTATGGACTTAATGTGCATAAGACTTTGAACCTCGCTGAATCCTGTGGCTTGAGGATTGTCATGATTTTATACTGTTGCTATTTTTATGTCATTAGTCTGGTCATAATGCTCCAGTTTTCTCACCCTGGGACCATTGCGGAAGAAGGGGAACAAGTAGATCGTAAGGCAAGATTTCTGGATGGTGAAATTGTAACATTTCCAGAGTATCTTGCCTGGCTTTAGTGTATTTGCAAATACTCAGGGGTGGACATAAGTTCATCTCCACATCAATGGGTAATTACCTGGGCAACTGGGGTGTGTCTGAAGCTGAGAGTTTTAAGGGAGGGGCTGGCTTGCTTCTACTGGAGCAGAGGAGAAAGACACCCCTGGACTGTAGTTTGTAAGCAATAAATGGGTTTTAAACTTTATTTCTCCCTGTGACTGATTTCTGCTTTTAGAGGTATTTTGCCCTGGGATTTCGTCTCCCCAGACTTACACCTATTTACTTTAAAGTATGTTCCCAGTTAGGCCCTCCTCCTTTTGTTGTTAATATCTAATATAAGGTATTTCATCTGTTGTTATTTACGTTTATCACACTGAGGAAACTGTAGAGAGACTCCGATCAATGTATAAAGTGAAGCACCCATGTTCACCACCCAAAGAAATAGTTTTTAATGGAAAAAGAATATAGCCATCTATGGTAGAAATTTCTCTGTTCTCTGAGATACCAGTTCTCTACACCTGGAGTCTGCATGTTCCTCCAGCTATCTAAACTGATGTCAGTAGCTACCAGAATTCCAGGTATAGTATTATAAGAAAATAATCCAACCCTTAGTGAGCCTTGCAAATACAAATTGCTTTTCAGGAATGGAAAATGTTACATAATTAGCATTTAAAAAGTAAATGATAAAAACAAGAGTATACTTGTAACGGCAGGTTTCCTGTCTTTCAGAAACTACTCCTTTGGGTTTACCTGGCTATGTCAGTTCTTTTTTATTCCAATTTGCATGGAGGTTAAAGACAGATTTAGGTGGAAGGTTCTATGTTACCAGTGGTGCAACAATAAATGGTGCAGACATGATGGCGACAGCTACACTGTACAAATCTTACTTTTTTGGATGACTACTTTCTAAGCAGCGGGGAACTGAGTTTATCTGATTAATACTGCAGACTAAGGGGTGCCGTGGAGGTCCTGTGCGGGAACAAACCAATTAAGCTGAGCATTCAGTGAAATTGCTTTCTCAAACAGGATGGGGAATGAGTCATCACAAATCAAACTATACTCTTTAGACCGAGTTTACACGTAAATTTGACCCAAGGCCATTGCCCCTTCATATCGCTGGTTGAAAAATTTCAAGTGGTTAAGTGAAGGGGGAAAAACCACTTTATTCTTTGCATGGAGAGATCCTCCTGCTGGGTCTTGAGTTGCTTTTACACTTACGCATGGAGGTAAGGTAAGGAAATTGGTTATTATGTGCACGGTTGAAGATGGTAAGTCTGCATAAACGAGTGTTTCTCCACCACGGCGTATTTGGGGAATTTAAACAACAAAGATCCAGATACTCCAGAGTCGCCCAAGTCCAATCACTCCGAACCACTGGAGGTGGGGCCCAGACGTCAAGCACGTTTAATCAAGCAATTCTACTTGCAGATATGACTGCCGACACCAGGCACACAGTTCCAATGGGCAGTAAAGCTCCCTGCCTTGAGGAAGGCTTCCAGGATCCACACCTCCCTCACAAAGGCGTTCCCCGCCCCCGGCCTGGAGGAACTACAACCCGCACGTACGGGTCCCAGGGGGCAGGATTCGGGGATTTGCGCTCCCGTGGGGCAGCCCTGGTATGGTAACAGACATTCTCACGCCATGTCCTCGCAACACCCCATGTGAGCTTAGCACCGAGAGTGAAGCATAGTGCCACAGGAAGGCCCGAATCGCCACTTTACCTACCCAGCCAATAATAGCCCAGGACGCCGCAGACCGAAGCACAAAACAGAGCGCATGCGTGACTGAGGCCAGGACCTGGGGGAGGCATACGTGACCAAAGGCTGCCTGGTGAGGCGGAGGCGTGGTTGTGAAGGCGGCGTTGCTTCCGGTCGGCGGAGGCGGGGCCTGAAGCACTCCGGGGGCGGGCCCCGGAAACACGATCTTCACCCCTTGGTTGCGACAGTGACCTCGACCCGGCCGCGACCCCGACCTCGGTACACCTGTATGGCCCTGCACGTCTTCCTGACGGGGCCCCCAGGTAACCCGCCTGGGTCTCCGCGTTCCGGAGGCCGAGGGGTAGGCGTGGGGGCGCGCGGGGTGGGACCCCTGCTGGCTGGGAGGGCGGTGGCACCCCTGAAGTTGGTAAATTACACGCGTTGTACCCGGAAGCCTCCGTATCGCTTTCTAGCAAACGTCATTTGGAGCTAGAAACGTAGCCAGCTATGGTAAAAGGAAGAACAAACACGTTATGTAATTTTGGGGCTTCTTTGTTGAGGTCTTAGTAGCAGGGTCCAGCGGCAGCGATGATAACTACTGCAGCTTTGAAACTGAAGTGCACCAACGATCCCGAGAGATTCTGCCGCAGCGGCGGTGGATTTGAAGGAGGCTGGCGTCTGTTATTAGTCACCGCCTGCTGCTGGCACTGTGGCTCTGGTCGCATTATTAATGAAGGGAAATGCACATTTCAGTTGAAGGATGGTGAAAGGAGAGGTGTGACCTTTCTTTCCCCATCCAAGTTCACTGACTCCCTCTGTGGATGAGGTTGCAGGCTAAGGAGCCTTGGTACCTACAGGAACCCCCTGCTTAGACCCTGTGTCTGTCCTCTCTAGGGCCTGCCCTTGGGTAAATCCCTTAGTGCATTCAAACATGTGACTAGAGGAGAAGAGGTTTTTAAACCAAGGTGCTACGCAAGAATCAAGTGTGACCAAAAAAGCAGGCAGGGAGGTCATGGCAGCATCAGCTAGTCTAAGGAAGAAAGATGCACTTGGAGTGGAGAAAGTGGTTTCTTAAGCAGCTTTGCAAAACAGGACTAATTTTCAAGTTAGTTATGAGTTCAGATATCAAAGATTGTAACCTTAGCCTAGGCTTGTCTTCCACTTTATTTCGATGATGATGTTAAGCCTTAAGTAGCAAAGACTACAGGTAATATTGCAGACTTTGGAATTTTATTTTTACCAGGCAGTGGGGGGAGCAATAAGGAGGGTGCTTTTAGAAATTTCTAATATCCAAAGGTACACCCTAATATTGCAAAGTGCTGTCTCCTGAAAGTTGATTTTTCAGCCCTTTATTTGAAACTTGGAATGCCACTTTCTCATCGGGCTGGCCCCAAGACATCTATATGTTTAATCTCAGAGATGTCCTGTTATTGGGATTGTACCTGCCTGAGTTCTGGAGGGGGCTGGGGACAAAAGGCTGGCCAGGCCAGCCCTGGTTCTTTGCAATTCCTTCTTTATCAAGGTTTTATGTACACATAATTGAGAGACTCAAGTAATTCTACAGTATAGCTCTCTTAAGCCTGTGCTCCCACGCCCTTCCCCTGGCTTCCAGATGCAATTGTAATGTAATTTTGATTAGCTCAGTATTGTTTACAGTCTTAAGTCATGTAATGATCAGTGATTTCATTTCCTTTTATCCACAACCTTTTTGCCCTTTGGGAGTTGTCTGTTGTGGTGGTGGTGGTGGTTGCTTTTTTCATTTACTTAGTTTCTTTCTATCACCAAACTCAATTGCAAACTCTGCCTGCTGTCCTAGGCTCTCTACATGTTCAGATTCTCAGGTAATGTACCTTTAAAAGGAGGTTGCATTTTGTATAATGTCTCCTTGGCACTTAGCATTTTTCCTGACTTCACCTGTCCAACTGTGACCCATCTTGGAGGGCTGTATTTGGCCACTGGAGCCCACCCTGCCTGCATACAGGGCAGAGCTGAAGGGACAGGGAATTCCTGTACCCCAGGAGCAGTCTCCCAACCCAAGAGAGATAGAAGTCAGTGGATAAACTCCCTACTCCCTCATAAGACAGGGTAACTGAGTGACATGTGCAGAATTGTCTCCTAGGATTTCCCAGAAGGATTAAGCTCCAGCTACCCACAAAGGTAACTTGCTTGATAATACAGTTATCTCCTAACTAGGGTGTCTTGGGGTTGCTTCCCAAATTAAACTCCCTGCACTTGAATGTATTTATTCAGGACTGACTGTATGGAAGAACCAGGACCATGGAGCTTTGTGACCTGCTCTGTGTGCCTGTGTGTGATATAGGACTATTGTCCTGGGTTTCCTTCAGCACAGGCCACTTGTTAGCAAGTCAGCACTAGGGTAGCAGCTTAATTAATGGAGATGAAAAATTAACTGAAAGATTTCTAGAACTGAAGAGGAAAAAAAGGATTTGATCCAGCCTCCTGCTTTACTATGTTCTGTCTAACACACAGGACGTGTGTACTGTGCACTTCTGTTCCAACACTCCACCCAGTTTCTGTTGTAGACAAACACTCCGCCCACTACCTTCTATTTTCCCCACTACTGTGGCCACCACCAGGCCTGTTGCCATAGAGCCCACCAGTGTGTCAGTAAACAACAGCTGAAGCAACAACAAAATACATAATGTCACCTTGATTATAGTTGCTGCATGTTATCTTTTCAAAATGTAAGTAGCTTTCTAACATTAAAGGTAATTCACACTTACTATAAGATAAAAAAAATCAAAGTTTTAAAGAGGAAAGTGGCAATCGTGGAATTCCAACATACAGGTAAAAGTGCTGTAAACCTTTCCATATTCTCAACATTTTCTTTTATAGACATGTATACTTCACTTTTTTGGGGAACTGTAATGGAATAATGCTGTGAACGTGTACTGTGTCTTAAGCTGCTTTTCCTCTATTATTTTCATATGTCTCTTTTCCAAATTGATAAACATAAGTAAACATTATTCTCTTTAATGGCTGTGTGGTATCCCTATGTATTTATGTGTCATTAATCCATGATACCATAATTTAATATTCCCTTACTGATCAACATTTAGGTTGTTTTCAACGTTTTGCTATTATAAAGAATGGTGAAGTGACCCTCCTGTTTCATATATCTTTGTACTGTTCTCAGATTTTTTTACTGAGGATGAATTCCTAGCTGTAGAAATTGCTGTGTGCTGCAGAAGGCACACTGAATTGCCCTTTGGGAAAGTCTTGACTTCCATAACCACCAGTGCCACTTGTCTGCATTAAACAGATTTTTCAACGACTTTCTTAAAGCAACAGTTTCTGAAGGGTAGAGCTGGGATTAGAACCCTACACAATTTTTTAGTAGCCCCAGTGAGCATAGGGCTGGAATCCTCTTGGGCTGGTTCATGTTCCCAAAGGCCAGATGTAATTGTTAGTGTGAAATTTGGAGGAGAGACATTAAATAAGAATAGCGGATCTTATTTTATTTCATTGACATTTAAGAGGGTTCCTGGGGAGCTCCAATGACTCTGTGTGGGCAGCCATAGGAAGAAGAATGATTTACAGCTCTGGGGTATCTCAAAATAGCTCTATTGCAGACCTGCTCAAAATCTCCCTGTTTTTTCATTTTTGGTTCATCATGATGCCACTTATGTAGATTTGTAGGAAACAAGACTCACATAAACAAAGTCAGATGAAGGCCCCTGTTAAAATGTATGGTCTTTCTTAGTTGGGTAAGTTACCTAACCTCTGTGTGCCTCAGTTTCTTCATCTGTAAAATAGGGACAAGAATGGTAACCGCCTCAGAAGATGGTTGTGAGGTTTTAACCAAGAAAATAGGTGTGACATGTGCCAGAACAATGCCTGGCTCCATGTCAGTGGCACCTGTTGGGCAGTGGGCTAGACTCAGAGGAAAGGAAGGGGCCAGAATTGGGGAGGAAAAGGGTGAAGGCTCATTGGTTATAATTTGGGAAGGGATTGGGGGCAAGCCCAAGGAATGCTTACGGAAGGTGATAGAAAGTGATAGAAGGGGTTGGCAACCTGGTAGGACTGCTCTTGTAAAGAAGTTTAAAAGCTGTCATTCCTAGTGGTGGTAGTTCTGGTTAAGAGATACGTTTTCAGGAGAGAGCAGTGTATGTCCACAGAGGAGTGAAGGGATTTTCCCATTGTTAAATGTGGGTGCAGAGTGTCCTGAAGATTGAAATACTTGTTTAAGGTTCCCAGCCTTTAACATAAGTCTGACCGGTTTTACTTCCTGAGTGAAAGAGTTTGCCCACCCAAGGAAGAGAGTCAACCCAACAGAAAATAGTAGCTTTGCTCATAGGATGCAAACTGAACTTGAGACTATCATCAGAAAACCACTCAGTCAGTTCTAAGATTGTATATGTGACAAAACTAATAATGTTTCAGAATTTAAAAGTAAACTTTAAGATGTCATTCATATTTTTATTATGCTTGTTGCTACTTGAAATGAAGAAGTTTTAACACCTGGCACAACCAAGATTAAAGTGAAGTAACTATTTATAAAATTAATGTGCAGCCCATTTCTCTCTCCACTGTACACTGTGATTGCTCTCAGAGTCAGGGAGTGCCTTGTGTCTTCTAGCAAGAGAGTGGTTCCTAATGGGCTTTTTTTTTTCTTTTTTAGGAGTTGGAAAAACAACATTGATCCAGAAAGCCAGTGAGGTTTTAAAGTCCTCTGGTATACCTGTCGATGGATTTTATACAGAAGAAGTCAGACAGGGAGGGAGAAGAATAGGATTTGATGTTGTCACGTTATCTGGCCCACGGGGGCTTTTGTCTAGAGTTGGGTACTGATACTTCTTTTCTGTGTTTTATTCTCCCCTGCGCAGACAGTTGAGCCAAATGATCTATCTTAAAGACCTGGGGCCTTTACAGATTTGTCAGAGAATGAATATGGAAATTGAAGCCTCCTATGAAAAACAGTATAAAAATAAGCTCTTCTCACTTTGTAACTCACAGCCCTGTTCCTCAAAAATAGTTGCTGCCCTGTCTGCCTGGAGCTCAGGGCTGGCCCTGCTGAGGTAACTGCCACATCAATGGTGGTGATGCACACACTTAGTGGTAGCCCTGCTTTCAGGAGAAACCAGGGAATCAGATCAGCTTTGCACACGACCACTTGTCTGTGTACGTGATTTTTTAAGAATGATTGAGCATATGCAGAAGGTTGGAGGCTCAGTGAAGCAGCTAAAAACTAGAAATTGATACAGGGGTCTTTCAGCAGTTAAGAACACTTTGTCTTTTCATTCAGGTTAGAACTTCTGCCTGGAAAACGTGAATGCAGAGTTGGCCAGTATGTAGTGGATCTGACTTCCTTCGAGCAGTTGGCACTTCCTGTCTTGAGGAATGTGAGTAAGTGGTTTCTGCTTGAGCCCATCTGTTCTTACCGCACTGTGGTTGCTGCTGGCCCTGAGGACAAAGTGGTTTTCGCCCTTACGGACAGGCCAGTTTTGCATTTTACAGTTTGGAAGTCCAATTGATTGAGCCTTAAAAAAATATGCAATGTACATATAAATCAAGTATAAAAATCAAACGAATATTCATATTTGACCTGATTGTCTATAGTTCATAATGCGTGATCAAAACCGAAAGTTTCTGTGATAACTGCCCTTGTACTGTTCACCATGTAAGAACTTATTCACTATGTAAGAATTTGTTCACCATGTAAGAACTTGTTCGTTATGCTTCAGAAGATTGGAGACTGTTGAGAATTAGGTTTGGGGTGGATTAATGATTGTGCATTGAGTCCCCTACACATAATTTTATTGTTGTTAACAACCATAAAAATATGCAATGTAGTCTGCTATCACTCTGAACTATAAATAAATGCCTTGTCACATAAATTCATCCAGGTAAATATGTTACAGGGAAGGCTCTGATGCTCAGGTATCAAGGCGCTCAAAGATAAGTTTTCCTCTGTTTTCCCCGTATATTTTAACCTTGTTTTCACAGCACAACAAATAAACATTTAGAAAGGAAAATGTCATTATATGAATATGATGGTAAGCACCTGACTATATCACTGTATTACCTGTTATTTTTTTCAAATAGCATGTTGAGATTCAATTCACATACCATACAATTCACTCATTTAAAGTGTACATTTCTTTTTTTTCCAGTATATTCAGAGTTGTGCAACCAGTCATCACAGTCTTATCTTAGAATGTTTTCATCATCCCAAAAAGAATAGCATATGCAGTTAAAAGTCATTCTTCATTCCTGTGTCACCCCCTGTCCCTGGCAACTCCTGCCCTACTTTTTTGCCTATTGGTTATTTCCTAAAAAGGGAATCATATAATATGTAGTCTTTGTAAGTAGCTTGTTTCATTTAACACAAAGTTTTCAAGGTTCATCCATGTTGTGGCACGTATCAGTGCCTCATTCCATTTTGTGGCTGAATAGTATCCTATTTATGGATGTGCCACATTGTATTTTTTCATCAGCTGATAGACTTTTTGATTCTTTTCACTTTTTGGCTATTGTGAATAATACTGCTCTGAAATTTGTGCACACATTTTTAGGTAGACTTCTGTTTTCATTTTTCTTGGGTATATGCCCAGGAGTGGAGATATTTGGTCCTATGGTAATTCTATATAAAACTTTTTGAGGAATTACCAGACTGTCTTACAAATGAGCTGCACTATTTTGTATTCTCACCAGCAATGGATGAGGATTCCAGTTTCTCCACATCTTTGCCAATACATGTTTGTCTGTCTTTTAAATTCATCCATTCTAGTAAGTGTGAAGTGTTACCACATGGTGGTTTTGATTTGCATTTCCCTAATGACTGATTTGTTGAACATCTTTTCATGTGCTTATTGGCCATTTGTGTGTCTTCTTTGGAGAAAATTATACTCATTTCCCTTGCCCATGACTTACTCATGACTTACTATTGAGTCATAAGATTTCTTTTTAAGTTCTGTATAGCAGTCTGCTATTAAATATATGATTTGTAAGTATATTCTTCCACTCTGCAGTTGTTTTCACTTTCTTGATAGTGCCTTTGAGGCACAAATTTTTTAATTTTGAGAAGTCTAGTGTATCTATGTTTCTAATGGTGTTTTATCAGAGAAGGCCTAATGCAATTTTGTGAAGATTTACTCCTATGTGTTCTAGGAGTTTTATAATTTTACTGTTACATTTAGGACTGTGGTCTACCTTGAATTAATTTTTATATGTGGTGTGAATATGGATCCCAGTTCATTCTTTTGCATGTAAATATACAGTTGTTCCAGGACCATTTGTTGAAGACTATTCTTTCTCCATTTAATTATCTTGGCACTCTTGTCAAAATCAATTGACCATAAATACAAGAATTTGTTTTGGGGTCTCAGTTCTATCTCGTTAATCTTTACGTCAGTTCCATCTATTCTTATGTTGGTAATACATTGCCTTAATTACTGAAGTTAGGAGTTTGATAAGGATTGTGTTGAATAGTAGAGCAATTTAGGGAATATTGCCATTTTAACAATATTAAGTCTTTTTATCCATGAATATGAGATGTCTTTCCATTTACTTAGATCTTCTTTAATTTATCTCATCAATGCTGTTTTATAGTTTCCAACATACAAGTCTTAACACTTCTTAAAAAATTTGTACCTTCATATTTTATACTTTTGGTTGCTATTATATATGGAATTGTTTCCTTAATTTCACTTTTGGAATAATCATTACTAACATAGAAATACAATGTTTTTTGTATTGATCTTGTATCCTGTAACCTTGCAAAAACTCCTTTATTCTAATAGTTTTTTAGTGAATTCCTTAGAGTTTTCTATATGCAAAATTATATCATCTGCAAGAGATAGTTTTCTACTTCAATACCTTTTTATTTCATTTTTTTGCCTAATTTCCCTGGCTAGCACCTCCAGTAAAATGTTGAGTAGAAGTGGTGAGAGTGGACATCTTGTCTTGTTTCTGATCTTTGGGAGAAAGCATTCACTTTTTTATCATTAAGTATGATGTTAGCTATGGGTTATTTATAGATGCCCATTACCAGGTTGAGGAAGTTTCTTTCTAGTCATAGTTTGTTGAGTGTTTTACAATGAAAAAGTATTGGATTTTGCCAAATCATTTTTCTGCATCTGCAGAGGTGATTGTGTGATTTTTGTCCTTTATTATATCAGTGTAGTGTATTACATTAATTGATTTTTGGACATAAAACCATTCTTGCTTTAGTGGAATAAATCCTCTAGGTTGTGGTGTATAATTCTTTTTATACGTTGCTGGATTCAAAAGAATTATATGCAAATCCTTTTGTATATTGCTGGAGTTTTATGTTTGCTTGTATTTTGTTGACGATTTTTGCATCTGTGTTCATACAGGATATGGTCTGTAGCTTTCTTTTCTTTCTTTCCTTCTGTCTGGTTTTGGTACCAGAGTAATACTGACCTTACAGAATAAGTTAGGAAGTGTTCCTTCCTCTTCTAATTTTTGGAAGAGTTTGTGAAGGATTGGTATTAATGTTTTCTTTGAATGTTTCATGGAATTTACCAGTGAAGTCATGCAGGTGTGGGATGTTCTTCATGGGAAGCTTTTTAATTACAAATTCAATATCTTTGCTTATTACAGGTCTGCTTTTTTTTTCTTTCTTGAGGCAGTTGTGGTAATTTGTGTCTTGCAGTAACTTGTCCATTTCACCTAAGTTATCTAATTTGTTTGGCATTATCCATATCTGTTACCTATATTTGTTGCTCATATACTCCCCTATAATAACTTATTTTGAAAGCTCTGTAGTATTTTCCCTTCTTTTGTGCCTTACTTTAGTTATTTACATTCTCTCTCTTTTTTGGCTGATCTAGCCAGAAGTTTGACAGTTGTATTGATCTTTTCAAAGAGCCAATTTTTAGCTTTGTTGATTATGTGTTACTTGTTTCTTGCATTCATTCATCAAATAAAATCCTGGGTATACAGTCATAACACTGATGTGTTTTTACTCTCTCAGCACTCTAGTGGGAAATATAGACATTAAACTAATGAATGTACAGTTGTCATAAATGCTGTGAAGGAAAAAAGCAAGGTTCTATGAGAGATAGGTAAGAGGAACTGACTTCACACCAGGTGGCCAGGAAAGAGCTCTGAGGAGGTAACATTTAAACTGATATGGAAAGATGAAATAGCACCATCTTTTCACAGAGAATATTGGAGCGGGGTGGGGGGGTCTGGGCATAATAATATAGATAATGGGAACAGATACACTGAGGCTGCAGAACTCTGAGGCAGGAGCAGGTGAAGAAGGTAAGGTTGGTTGGATCACATCATTCAGGACTTTGTGGACCATATTAAAGAATATGGGTTCCATTTAATATATTAAAGATTTACAACTTTGATTTACTTTTGTAAAAACTGAATTGTACAGACCTGCTGCAGCAGCACTAAAGTCCAAGGTCCTTCCCATGGCCTCCTGGCTTCTTAACCTCCAACTTCACCTCACCATTCCCTAACCATTCTAGCTCAGACATGCATTCAGACATGCATCCTACACATGGCAGGGTCAGTGCCATGCCAACCTTTGGCCTTTGGCATTTGCCATTTTCTTTGGTTGAGATATTCCTAATATCTTCACCTCTCTGCTCTTTTTTCCCATTCAGGGCTCAGCTAAAATGTATGGTGGAGGCTTTAGTAGTTGCCCAAGGCTGCTCAAAATTTTAACTATAGCCTGCTGAGGGTGGTTGCTAATTTCCAAGGGCTATGAGAATCTTATGCTCTGTTCTGGGAGGGAGCTGCCACTCCTCAGAGCCCACCTTCTCCTTTGGTTTCCCTCCCTTGTCTGTTCTTTCTATCTTCTTTCCTAATTCCTTCCTCTTGGAACTTGCCCTCATCCCCTGTGCTGGGGACTGTTGCCGTTATATTGCACAGGAGCGGTTAAAGAATATGATATTTTTCTCTCTATAGTTTTTTCCCATCAAATATATAACTCTCTTCTTAAGTGTTCAAAGGGCAAGTGAAATACTTCAAATAAATTCCCAGTAAAGAATCTAGGTTTGGGCACTGAATCAATACAAATAATTGATTTTTACTTGCCTTGCTCAGAACAGCCTGAATCATACATGCTTGATGTCAGTGTGCACATACATGCTTGATGTCTGTTGGCAAGGTGATGTGAGAGGTTGTATACTGACTGGAATAAGCTTGAATGTCTCTCTTTAATTAAACATAAAAGAAAAGCAGACTTCTCCCAGTTCTTTATACTTTTGATTTCAAAACCAGACATTCATGGTCTAGGTAGGAAAAGGTGCCTGGCTTTGGGCTCTTACCCAATCAAGGCCATGGATTTCTTTTTGGAAGCAACAATTTTTCTCCTATCATATATTTTATTGAACTGAAGAAAGGAAAATTCATGTTTTGC